CCTGGGGAGCACCGTTCGGGTTGGACAAAAACACAGAAAAACATCTCCGGGAGCCCTCAAAACACAAAAGCTCAAAAAAACTGCGGCAATTCACTTTACGGGGGTTATCCCCGGGGGGTCGGGAGTTATAGCCACCCGGGGGCTATGTAAAAACCAAATGCATCACCAGCGCACCAATCCGGAGTCGAGTCGCAACAAGGGGGACAATCCTAGTCAAGCACCGAACAGGGGGTTTAGACATTTCCCGAATCTTTTTGAAGTGCTTACTGCAATACGCCTGTGTCTCGTCCAGAAATTGTGAGTAGCGGAATGCCTCTTTGCGTGCCCGGAGCTTGTCGCTGACAACTTTATTGGCATCATGCTGGACAATTTGAAGGATATCATGCAGGACGTCTGGCGTAGGCACATCACGTGGCAGGTAGGCAATTTCTGGCCAAACAAGGATCCACTCAACAAAGGGAACACCATAGCCTGTGGACCTGAGGATAGCATTCCACTCTTGTTGCAAAGTTCCATGCCGGTCTGATGCACTGGGTTTGGGATTACCTTCAGCGTCGGCAATTTGGCTGTACAAGGACCGGATTCGTTGTGCCTGCCGAATGCGTTGCTTAGATTTCATATCAAAAGCTTCTTTTGGAGGCTGATAGTCATTGTGTCTAGCTGGTGGGGATGGTTTACACACAGGCACTTGGATGAGCTTCTGAGGTTGGCGTCGACCTCTGCAGTGCTTGGGCAACCCATTGCTAGGTTGGGCAGTGGGGTCCTCACGATGTTTGTCACTCAACTGCCTGCTCAACCCGTTTGGCAGATCACAAGCATCAGGGTCCTCAGTGTAGGCCTGAAGCTGATTATAATGGCTGGCAACAGCAGTACTGTCAGGCTGCAAATCGGCATAGCTTCGCGGCAACTTCCAGCGCAGGCTTGTAATTTGTTGGCGTGGAAAAACAAAATCAAGCTGCAACGGTCTATGCCTGTGGAAATCACGATCAAGTAAGACCCGTGCATCTTGCAACGAGGCGTGCAAGCGGGGATCAATCAAGATCGTGTCGTGTCGCGATCCAGGTCCAGTACCTTGTGATGAGGTACAGGTTGCAGGCAGTGAGAAACCATGGCGGCGAGTCCACAGTTCATGCAATTCAGTGAAACCTTGACCAGCCAAGGATTTCCAGACTGGCAGTTTTTGAACTAGTCTGTTGATGTCACCCCCAATGAGGGTGGGTGCGTTGTTGAGCTGCATACGTTGGATGCACATCTCAAGCAAGTAATTTGTTGCAGTGTGATTATAACTTGCCGATTGGGTGCTGCCATCTGGAAAACCGTAGAGCACAAATACACGCAAGTCAAAAGTCTGGAGGCGGATATAACCTTCCAAAATACGGGCGGTGCTTTCCAAGGGCCCGGGAAAAGGTCACGGGTTTCCCGAAGTGGCAGTGAAGACGCACAAGCAACCCCACACGCAACCCCTCTCAGAGAATGGTCGTGGGTCACCTCATGCATAGGTGCAACTGGGGAACCCCAGATTGTATGATATCCAATTTTCCGAAAATTCAATGTCTCGACATCCTGCAGTTTGGCAGTAGCTGCAGTTTCTGACAAAAAACAATGTCACCGCACTTGGCAATCATATCTGATTTATTATCCACAGAAGTGGGATTTACTACAGCTATTTTTACAATATCAGGCTGCGGGGGTCGAGGTCCAGGGTTGAGGGCCTCCCCAACACGGACCCAAAGGCCATGCTGGTGCGCTATCATGAGAACAATTCAATGCGTGCTCAGTCCAATCAATCATTCGACATCTGCATGTGTGGCACTCAGCAGGACTGCATCCTTTTTCCCCCCAACAGAAAAGTAGATTGGGCCGACCAGTGCTTATTAGCACCAGGTCCGCGCGCACAGCACTAGCAAGGAGATCTGGCACACTTTCAGTGAGGCAAGAAATCAAGGGTTTGCTGCGGTAGCGCATTGGCTGTATGACCCCAGGCAATGCATCTGGCAAATGCTTTGATTCCCTCGCGCAAATGAGGATACAAGCAGGCAGCGGCAATTGCCATGTTCACATGCAGGTGCTTGGAGCATCATGAGCCAAGGCCAACGCCGTTATCGCTGCCATCTGTTTTCCGCTCCTTACTACTAGCAAGGAGCAGCTCCCTGAGTTCCATGAAGCACGACTGCGTTTTGGCTTCCTGCTTGTCAGCAGACTCCTTGACGAATTGGATCACATATTCCTTGAACTCTTGCTGGCCCTGCTCAACACGGCCAATGGAATGCTTCAAGGCATCGAGTTCAGCGCAAGGAGAACATAAGAGACGGTTTCAAGGCCTGCACACGCGTACGCGGATCAATCTCCGCGCAACCCCGGCCATGGTGAATCCTCGGGTCAATCATCTCGGATCGCGTGCTCAGGGCATGAAACTGTCTCTTCTGTCCCCCCCTCTTCTAGCAAATCAAAGTCAACCTCGGAACGCACTCCCTTCTACGACTTTCTGCGTCCTCCTCCATTGCCCGGCGGCTGTGCCAGTTTCCGCTTGAAGCAGCTCAGGGGTCATATCCCAATAGGCCGGCAGGTCGGCAGACAGACGCACAAGCAAGAAAGCACGCTGACAAGCCATCGCCCGGGCACAAGCAAGCGAGCAAGCAAGAAAACAGGCAGGGCAGGCAGGCAGGACAGCACGCAGGCAGGCAACAGGCGAGCAGACGAGCAGAACAAGAAGACCTGCAAACAAACAAGCAAGCAAACAAGCCGGCGCGCAGACAGGCACCAGGCAGGAGAAAGAAAAGCAGACAAGCAGTCACACAGGAAGGCAAGCTAACAGACATGGTGTCGGGTGGCGAGTTGTGATCTTGACGCACGGCGGGCGGCGGGTGTCGGCGGCTATGATGTCTGACTCTCCGTGCTGCGATGTCTGACTCTTCGCGCGGTGATGTCTGACTCTTTGCGCGGTGATGTCTGACATTTGGGTCTCTGACTTTGTGGTTGGATGTCTGAATTTCTCCTCGCTGTTTCAACATCAACCCACTCAAAGCAGCACCCTTTAGTTGGATTTTCCATACAAATAATTTTCCAACCAGCTTTTCGCGAAACAGAATGAACCCTCCAAACCACCCCAGCGCCGATTTGGGCCTTTCGACCCAATAACTTTGCGCTGGAGAACGATTGACTAGGGCTCTCAGACCGACAAAAACGGCTGGCCATGAGCCAGCGCGTCCCGCTTCAGCTCCGCAATCTCGAAGCGCCCCACCGTGGCGCATCGGACAGGCGCAAAACGCCGATGTGTCTGTGTGTGTGTGTGTGTCTGTCTGTGTCCGTTTTTGGGAAGGAAGTCCCCAAACAAAGGAAAGAAACCCAACCGCAAGCACACGCAGGAACGTCGCAAAAAAAGGAAGTCTTGTATGTTGGTTTGTGAGGTAGCCCTTGGGTCTGCGGATACTCGGGCTGCCTTTGGTAGTGTTTCTTGTATTGGGGGGGGAATTTCCTGTATTTTGGTCTCTGAGGTAGATTCCGGGGTCTGCGGATACTCGGGCTGGTAGTGGCTTGTGAGGTCCCCCCGAACACAAAAACAAAGAAGCCGCCCGAGTATCCGCAGAGTTCGGGGTCTACCTCACACACCGACATACAGACGGTCCCCCAAAAACACAAAAGCGAGTATCCGCAGACCCCGGGATCTACCTCAAACACCAACATGCAGGAACGTCAAAAAAAAAAAAAAAAAAAAAAAAAAAAAAAAAAAAAATATATATATATATATATACAGGCAAGTCCCCCAACAACAAAAACACGAACCAATACCAAAAGGCAGCCCGAATATCCGCAGACCCCGCAGTCTGCCTCAGAGGCCGACATACCGGAAAGTCCAAAAAAAAGCAAAGGAACGCTGCCCAAAAAGAAAGCCGGCCAAAGCATCCACAGACCCCGGGGTCTACCTCAAAGGCCAACATACAGGACAGTAACCCCGCGGGGGCGGCGGCACCGGGCGGCAGCCCTTAAATTTCTTGTGTGAGACCAATGGTGCTACGACGGCGTGAGATTGGATGCCTCAATTCAAAGGTGGCGTTCTCCCATGTGCCAATCAAAGTTCTATGTTTGCAAGTAGTCTGACTGATCACTGTGTCAGTAAGGCCACAAACTGTCACTGCTTCTTGCGTCCATCTGCGCCTTGGTCTTCCCACTCTTCTGTGCTCTACTATTCTAGGTTTTAGAGAGCCGATAGCGAGCTTTAGTTGAGCATCGCCCTCTTTTCGTACAGTACTTTAGCCAATGGGCAAACTGTCCTTTAGTAGTCGTGCTGATACAAATACTCAAATTGTCCAACAAACCATCCTACTTTGCAGTTTTCCCGATACGAGAAGAAAAAAGTATGAAGCCTGCAAAGGTACCCTTCCTTCCACTAACATAGCACCTGTGGGAGGGCTCCTGTAAGATCTAGTTCCTCTTGCAAGGACCCCCTGTCAGGTGCCATTGCAACGTGGGATGGAAGCCATCCCGCAATTCCCCCCCCCCTCCCCCGCTTTCACTTTTCTGCAGCATGGCCCAAGGGGCCTTCTCCTCTCGCGGCGCGCCGTTTCGCGCGCGTCAAGAGCTCAGCCGGGAGGAAGTTCTCCTCGTTGCGCGTCGTGGTTCAGATCTCGAGATCGGGCTGCAGGACTTTCAGCTGGCCTCCAGATTTTTAACCGCCTATATACTCCAAATTGGAACATGCTTGTGGTGATTGACCACCTATATACTCAAACTTTGAACATGCTTATTGGTTCAACCACCGTTGGTTGACACCCTGTTTGCTTTGGGGAGAGGTGACTTGGCGTGGCCACGCGGCCCCGCCTCCAGGGATGCCATCACGGCCCGGAGCTGCAAGACTTCGGGGTGAGCTGAGCCCAGCAGCCGCTCGCGGATGAAGAGCTCGCCTCAAATGGCGGGGTGGGGTCGGGGTGCTGGGGTGGGGTGGGGTCCGGGGGGTTGGGGGGTGATGGTGGGGTGCTGGGGTCCGGGGGGGAAATAAGGGGTTGGGGGGTGATGGTGGGAGGGGTGGGGTGGGGGGTGGGGTGGGGTGAGGTGCGGTGGGGTGGGGGGTGTGGGGTGGGGGGTGGCCCCAAGGTGTAAGGAAGAGCCAATGCGGCCCAAAGACTCCAACCACATCCGAAACAACTGAGAGGCTCTAACTTGCCTTCCAGCCGCGTCGGTAGAAGTCCACGGCTTCCCGCGTCTGCCCCAGCCGGATCATCAGTTCCGCAATGCCGTCCAGGGTGTCCGCCACCTCCTCGCTCTCCCCTTGGGACCGGGTGAAGATCCCCAGGGCGCGAACGTAGAAATCCAGGGCGCCGTGCAGGTCGGCCAGCTGCTCGCGCCGGCCCGCCAGGTTGTAGAGGATCTTCCCGATGTGGGAGTGCTCCGACCCAAAGAACCGCTCCCAAATCTCAAGAGATCTGCACGCAAAGCGCAGGGCCTCTCAAGGGCATCCGGCTCTGCAACGGGCAACGTGTTCGATTTTTCGGGTTCTCCAAAACATCCCAAGCCGGCATGAACCCTCTTAAACATCCCAAGCCTCCTCTATCTGCCCAGAGCGGTCCATCAGATTCGCGATGCAGTCCAACGTTGTGGCAACATAGAAATGATTCGGCCTCAGAACCTGCGAAGATGCGTGTGCAGGGCTCACCCGCTGGCGGGCCCTTTTGCTTGATCAGTCGAGGAAAACATAAATGCACCCCCCTCCAACAGTCCCAGCCATGTTGGACTTGCCTCAACACCCAAGCACGAAAAGGTCCCAAATGGTCCCAAGTGGACCCCCCCTCACCTGCCTTTTCGCGGATACCTAGAGCTCGCAGGTAGAGCTCCAATGCATCAGCATGGCCCATCGCCTCCTGACGCATCCATGCGTGCGTGAAACAACGCTGGAAGGAAGTTTGGATCCCAATCCTTTAGAGCAGCCATGCTGTGAAGCGTTGCAGCAGCCGTGGGGTGGTCAGCTGCGTGGCTTTCCACTCTGGCCTGAGCAAGCGCAGAAAGCAAGGCGCAGGCAGCTGAAATTCTCGTCAACCTCCCAGCCCTTCAATCGCAACACATCCAAGACAGACTTGACTTCCAAGCAGCGACTCTCGCGCCAAAGAAAGCTTTGAACCACTCTACGCATCTCGTGCTTCATTGCATCAAGCCCCGTGCCAAAGCTTGACTGTGCAAGTCCAAGGCTTCCTGGCGACTGGGCTCCCTTGCGGGTCATCCAACAATCCTCTGAAGGTGTGTCCCGGCACTTCGAAAAACCGGCCACCAAGTGGGCAGCGGCACTTTCTGCGTTGAAAGACCAATCCACAGATACGGCAAGAGCAAGGTTTGCCACACCCACGGAGACCATAGCGGCCAAAGTAGCACAACCGCGATCGCACTCACTGTTCTCTGAACTGCGCAGTGCGGCGACGCTCGCTCAAAATGATGTCAAACTCCGACTGTGCAATTCCGGTCCTGCATCTGTCCTTCGAGAATCACATCAGCGGCCATCATGCCCATGCGGCTACACGCAACAACTAGCCGGCCTCGTTCTGCTTTCAGCTTGGCCACAGTGTTCAAGGTGGCAGCTTCCTGTGCAAGACTTTCTGGTTGGCTGGCAGAGTGTAACCAACCAGTTGGCGTGTCCGGCAGTTCAGAACACTCCCCAAACAAACAAAAAATGCCGGCAAAAACCTCACCAGCCCTTGGCTGCAAGAATCCGTGGCAAGAATCAGTCCTGCAGAGCATCCATGGGTTGCGCTGCCTTTAGCGACTCCCAGTCACCTGGCAACAAGAATGTTTCGTGATCTGTGTAGATGTCCCTGGGAGCAATCAACGCTCAAGCGCTTGACACAAAGTCATTCACTATCATGTTGCGCAAGTTCCGTAGAGCACACATGTGTTACATGACCGTTCAAACAGAAAGTCTAAGCAGATAAAGATTGTGCAAAGTTCATACATGAACTATCTCGCCGACTGAGTGCCCTGCCCACCACGCAGCCGCTTCCGGCTCCGAAGAAATGCTTGAAGACCACATCCTTGTACTCCACTGTGGTGCCTGCGAAAATTGCAGAGAGCAAGGCCACTCTTGATATAACATTCCATGAAGCCAGGATTCGTGACAAGCTGTTGCTCTTGGACTTTGCTTCAAGCTGGCTGCATCCAGGCTGCCGTCAACGCCAGCGTTCAGCAACATGTCCTTGCGATAGCAGGCTTCAGAAGCCGAGGTTGCTCCGGCAAACAACTCCTTCTTTAGCTCCTTGAGCCTTTTTACATGTTACACCTTCGTCCTGCCTCACCCACGAAAAAATGGAGCACATCTTGCCCACTGGATACTTTTTGCTGCACCGGCCAGTTGCCAGCCTCCAGCTCTGCTTCGCTGAAGACATTTCCTGACACAGCTCCCTAAGCTTCAGGCCTTGAATCCACCCGGACCAAACCCTGCCTGACATCCTCATGATGTCCACCAGCTTTTGGACAGAGATCCTGCCAGTGCGATCCGGGTCAAAGACCTGGCGGCGAATCCCCAAAGTCAAACATAAAGCAACACAAATCCAAACAAATCTGGGGCTGTCAAACATGGCGACCCGGACACCCCCCGATTGGGTATCATGTCACATTGTGCCGCCATTATGAGGGGGGGTCGAAAAGGGGGTTCACAATTTTAGACAACTCCCCAAACGAACAGAGCGCAAGTCAGCTGAGAGGATTCAATCCGATTCCCATGAACTTAGTCCTTGACTCAAATCTGCTTGATGCATCTCGGTGGCTCCTTTTCGTGGGGATTCCGCTTGTGCAAAACTTTTGTGGGGATTCCACGCAGCTCAACCAGGGGAAAAGAGGTTCACACAACTAGGCGGGTCAACCGTCTCCTGTATCCCCGCCAAGCAAGCAATCCCTTCTGCAATTCCAGAGAGGCGCCAAAAAAGCGAAACGCCCCAAAAAAAGAGAAGCCAAACAAAAGATAGATGCCAGAACCAAAACCAGTACAGTCCCCAAGAAAAATAGAAGAAAAAAAAAGAGAGAAAAAGAAAAACGGCGCCTGGAAGTCTTGGAGAAGCTGCTGCGCCTGGTCTCTGGCCAGCCACCGAGCCAGCAGCTCCTGTGCGCCAGTCATGCGCCAGTGCGTGCCGGCTCAGTGCTGCAAAAACCCGCCGATGCCCCGAAGGTCCAACGGTTCCGGCTGTGCTAATTGGTAGGGTGCCTCGTGGCTTCCTTTCCAAAGGACAGCGGCTTGTTTCTGCCAAAGGGAAGTATGGCAAAGAATCGAACTTAGGGTGGACTGTGTCTCAACCATAAACCCATGTTTGGATAAGCCGTTCCAGGTCAACTGCCTGCAAAAGCAACACCTTGTTTCAACAGCTGCCATTGCCCGTCCTCCATTTCTTTGCAGAACTCCTCATATCCAATGCAGCCGCCGAATTTCCGTTGCAGTTCCGAAGCCTTGGATTCAACGCGGACCCAGATCTCCGGTCCGGAGAAATTCTTAACACTGAGTCATACGAGTCATAACCCAAGCGCACGCCAACCTACTGCGTAGCTTTGGCATAAGCTCACTCACCCTAAGATGCTCAAGTCTGACCACTGGTACTCATCCACAGGCAGCCAAAGCGTTCCTTGAGCCTCTTGAGTCCATTAGACCTGCACCGCTTGGGACCCATTGCTGGTGAGCCGCTTGCTGATCGGTGGGGTTCATGCCCAGCAAGCGCATCGCCTGCGGCAGAGCGCACGGCTCGAAGCCGTGCTCTCCTTGGAATTGCTCGAAGACCTCGCGGAAGGAAGCCTCAGCTTGAAGGGCACTCCTTTTGGAGTGGGTTTAAAGGGAAGCCAAAAGGACACCAACAATTTGCTGTTGGCCCCTATTTCAAGAAGTTGCAGCTCGCTATACTCCAAAAAGACCCCCTGGAAGAGCCAATGGCTCCAACAGCCCAAGTAGACCCTCGGCTATGAGATCACATTGGCAAAAAGACCCCTCAACCCTGTAGAAATTCTTTAACCTGTGACACAAGGCCAGGCATCCGTCTGAAACCTCTAGGGCCCAGCAACGTTCATCCATTCCAGCACCAATGTCAGCTGCTACTACCATCGCGCCAGCTCACACATTGTCGTGCTCACGCATATCTGCAACATGATGTTTGGAACATGCTCCAAGTTAGTTGCGAACACCTGCTGAATAACAAACAGCTACCCCTCAAAACCTCTAGGGCCCAGCAACGTTCATCCATTCCAGCACCAATGTCAGCTGCTACTACCATCGCGCCAGCTCACACATTGTCGTGCTCACGCATATCTGCAACATGATGTTTGGAACATGCTCCAAGTTAGTTGCGAACACCTGCTGAATAACAAACAGCTACCCCTCAACGAGCATCTGAAACAAAGCCCGAAGCCTATTCCTGGGAGCCTGATCAATGGCGTTTCCTTCCTCGGGCGGGATAACATTCTGCACTCTCTTCCCGGCTTAAAACGAATGGCAGGGACCACGAAGAGACCTTCCGAACTAGTGCGGTTCTCAACAAATTTGAGCCAATTCAGCTGGCTGCCATGCCTGAGCAGTGACGTTTCGACCAAATACTTGATAGTTATAGAAGAACATGCACTGCTCCAACCTAAACCACCCAACCTCGACACGACAGGTACGCTCTCCCTTTTCCATCGCTGATGCGAGCAGCGCACTGCAGTGCACGGCTTCAGCTATGAGAAGGCTCTATTAACCCCCTGGTGCAACAACAAGTGTCACGCTGGAGTTAAATCTCGATCAATTCTTCGCACAGCGGTGCCGAGGAGTGTGAACGACTGGAGCACTGCGCGCAAGCGTCATAGAAGAACATGCACCGCCCCTCGACACAACAGGTACGCTCTCCCTTTTCTTTCTGGGTTGCGCTGGAGTCGCTAGCTGATGCAAGCGGCGCGCTGCGGCTGCAGCTATGAGAAGGCTCTATGAAAAAAACACTTTAGTGTCCAGCACAACCCGGCTTTCGCTGAGTTCCCCCAGCAATATGATAATGCGGCTTGTCGACCCCTATTTCCTGAAAGGTCTCAGGGCCTCTTGCGGCATCGGTTCTGGAGTTGCGTGAGAGCCCGCGTGCGTGCATTATAGTGGAATTCGTCGATGCGAGCACACGGCTTCGAGTCGCACAGAAGCAAGTTCATCGCCCCTCGCCCGAAGTTCATCGCCTGGTTGAACGAGGACACATTTCGGCAAAGGTCAAGTTCATCGCATCTGTGACACGGTTCATCGCTTCCGTGTCAGCGGCTTCTGTCAGCGCGCAGCCTGGAACCAAACCCGCCGCGCTGCAAAGATATCTTTCTTCCAATGGCGCTACGGAGCCTTCCTCCCGGCTGGGGTGGTGCTGGGGTGGCGCTGGGGTGGCGCTGGGGTGGCGCTGGGGTGGCGGTGGTGTTAGAATCTTGGTCACTGCTTCAAGCCTACAAGGACAAGCAAGGAAAAAAGCATCCGACCGAAGCAAACTCGACACGCGCTTTTTTACTTGAGCGTTGCTTAGAAGTGCAGGCTCTGAGATGCAGGTGGAGTGACGATGCGCGTCCACTCCATCTTCCTGCATCTCATGCGGAGCCTGTCGGAATGCCCCCTGTGGTCAACATTGCGTGTTCGACCATCACACAGGGTGTTTTACCCACGAGGTGTGAGACAAATAGGAGGTATGTGCACATCGGAATGCAGTGCGAATAGGTGTGCATGGGAGGAATGCGTCCTCCTGAAGGGGACCAGGCTGGTCCGACAGAATGCCGATGGCATTCAGCGATGTGCGACTGCGTGCACAGCATGGGTTCAAACTGGTGTGGCCAACGAGGAATGCGTCCTCACTGCATAGGCTTAAACTGGTCCTGCGGGATCAGTAAGCCGACAACATGCTTGATGCTGGAAAGCTTGCTGACAACGCGTGTTCAGCAATTAGCTATCAGGCCTCTTTGCACAGGCAAGACGGGTCCTGCGGGATGCAGCAAGCCAACAAAATGTTGGAAGCGGGAAAGCTGGCAACCATGCGTGTGCAGCCACCCCGCAATCAGGCCTTGTGGAAGCTGGTTTCCACCTGGGCCGTGAAAGGGTGGGAGGGTGGGTTCAAAAAGAACGAAAGAGGGGTCAGACCCTCAAGGCATGTCCCTTACTAAAGGGCTTGAAGCAGAAACAGCCACGCGGCCGAAGATTCAACCAAGATTAAAACACAGGGGAAAAGACAAACCCCTAGCGTTAGAATCTTGGTCACTGCTTCAAGCCTACAAGGACAAGCAAGGAAAAAAGCATCCGACCAAAGCAAACTCGACACGCGCTTTTTTACTTGAGCGTTGCTTAGAAGTGCAGGCTCTGAGATGCAGGTGGAGTGACGATGCGCGTCCACTCCATCTTCCTGCATCTCATGCGGAGCCTGTCGGAATGCCCCCACTTTAGGGTTCTAAGCAAACGGTCAAATCACCTCACCCCCTCTTTAGTGCGTTTGCGATGCACTCACGTGCTCGGGTCTCCACGGTGCGTCCGCAGGGTGAAGCGTGAGAGCTGATGCGTGAGGCCAGAAATCATGCGGCCTGAATCGGAATTTGGATGCGGCCGACTCTGGAAAGCGGAGGTATTACCTCTGCTGAGTTGGTCCGCCCAGATGTTGTGCTCTCCTGGGATGTGTGACGCGATCACGGACCATTTGTGTTTGTGGGCCCAGGCGGCTACAAGTTGCACAAAGACTTGCAGGGGCCATGATGTGGTGAACAGTTTATTAACGCCTGCCTCGGAGGCCGTGTTATCTGTCCCTGTGGGCATGCACATGCCATGCACGCTTTGTCCCTCGCACGACCATGCGATACGCATGAGTGCTAGTTGAGCCAAGGTTTCGAAGCATGCGATGTAGCGCTGGGCTTCTTTGGTGAGGCACGGCCACTGCTCTTGGACTTCCTGGAATTGCCAAGTTTCTGCGAACCAAGAAACGGAGCTGCTGGTGATGAACCAACCCCCTATGCCCACGACACTGCCCTCGGCGCAGGCATCTGCGGCTGCTTTGCATGCCAGCATTGGCTTGCTTCTCAGCGGGCATGCAAGGTCCAAGTGGAAGCATTGCAGCAACCATTCTACGCCGTGTTTGCTCATCTTGGACAGGAGAGTGTGCTCCGCGGATGCGTCCGCGACGCGCACCCAGGCGGATTTGTGACTAGGCACAACGCGAGGCAGGTCAGCTGGCGTGCGAATGCATGCCCCGTGGAACTCGAGAACTTTAGAGCCTGGTGGCATGAAGATGCCGTGCACTGCTGACCTGAGCACGGCTTTGGCGTCCAATGCAGAAAGGAAGGATGGCCACAAGCGCGCATGGACAGAGATCATGCAACCCGGCGGTGAATGCAAATCTGTACACAAAGGTGCCAGCCAGGACCTGAGTTCGGGGCTCAGACTGGTTGCCCAAATGAGTAGGCCTAGAACCTGCTCCAAAAGTTTTCGCTTGACCTTCCCCGCTTTGAGCAGCTCGTGCAGCTGCCCTTTTAATTTTAAGGTTTTTTCTGGCGTGAGTTCGATGGTCTCATGCAGGAAATTAATGCGCCATCCACACCACGTGAGGCCATTTTGAAATTGAACCTTCTTCCACGAGATGCTGCAAAGAACATGACCATAAGGGCCAGCTGTGCGTGCGCATCACTGCGACGCAGTGCTGCCAAAAGGTCATCCACAAACAACCATGCACGATGTGGGTGCAGTTCCAAAATGCCGTGCAGTAGCCTCACAAGGAAAGCTCCGGTGCGCTGCCACCAGTATGCGGAGAAGCGTGCTCCGAAGTGGCAAACCCTATAATGGTACAGGATATCGGCAACACGGAACAGAAGCAGGCCATGTTCACTGGGGTGCGCTTGGATCTGCTTATGCGCCGCTTTAAAATCAAAGCTTGCCCCCACAAAGGACGAATGCGTGTCCTCGGGGAGGAATGCTAAGCGCACGTCCGAGGCCATTGGCAGGCTTATGCGTTCTGGAATGGCGCACTTGGGGTTCACCCCACACACTGTGCTGTCTAAGACTAGTCGTGGGTCCTTGCCTTCTGCATGCACGACGTTGAGCTTTCCCACTGCTATGCCTTTATGCCAATGTTGTCTGGCTTGTTCAATGGACATGCCGGTTCGAATGACCCATCCGTTTGCAATTTCCTTTTCCAGCAAGGCTGATACTGTCTCTGGTTCCGCTTCTGCGGCTTTCCAGTTGCCGATGCACTCGGTGAGCTCACTAGGCAGGTCTGCCTGAGGTTTAGGCGGCCACTGCATGCTACGTGGCAGTTCGGACACAGCTCCTGTTGGCACGCCTTCTGCCAGCAGCTGCACTAGTTTGAGGTCTGGGTCAGTGGATGCCGTTGCTAGGGCATGCAAAAGCGACAGGCGGTACGGTTGTCCTTCATCGGGCGCTAAGTCGGATGGGCACGGCATGTTCATGGCGCGGAACGCGATCCGTGCTGCCTCCTCGGACTGTTCCAAGAGAGGGGGGGATGCGTTACCGGAGCCCACATGGGCTAGAATTTTTGGGATGAGTTGTTGTGCGTCTAGCCAATGCAGCCAGGCACGCGCTACTATCGTGAGCGGGTGGTCTGGTTGAGGGATTGAGTGGTCTGCAGTCGAATGCATGCCAGCTCCATCGCATACCCGCTGGCGAAGCACCATGATTTTGAGAGCATCACGCCATGTTGGCACGCATCCACCCATGCGAGGTGTCCGTGAAAGTTTTTTAAACACTGGAAGTTTTCTGGCTCCAACCAAGCCATGCTGGACGGCGGCTGCTCGAAGATTGCCACGCCACTTTGGGAGGCGACTGCTTTGAACAGCTCTCGCCCTCTTCTGTGGATTTCGCGGCTGTCGCGAACCCGAGAGAGTTCTGCTGGTGACAAGTTCGGTGTGCCAAGCATGCATGAAGGCGTGCGTAACGCCTTTGGGCCGCCTGGTCTAAGCTTGAGCCTGGAGTATTCCTTGCACGGCGGTGCCAAGGTCAGCAAGCTAACGCTGCCAGACCAGCATATGCGCAAAAGCAACTCGAACCATGCGTCATCCAGAATGTTGTGCTGAGGATTGGCGTCCAAGTCAAAAGCTTCGAAGCGTGCAAGGCCTTGTTGGTCTGCTGCGGCGGAGATCGGTGCATGGACCCCTGCGAAGACGTCCAGCAGGAGTCCTCCCCGGGGCTTATGCAATGCGCCAGCGTCTGAAGGCGCTTGTTGGCATGCGGGAGGGAAAACAGTGAATGCGGCCGGCGTTTTTGTGGCACCGTCCGGGGAAGCTGCCGGGGCTTCCTTTGGACTGTTTCAT